TTCAGAAAATAGTGGAAAGAAGAATGAAGGAGGAGAGCACGCCAATATAATCAAAGCAATCTATTCCTGAAATGAGAATAGTGAAAAAGCAGTAAAATATATTAGGATATACAAAAACAATCAAGACATATGGTAATTTAGCATAAGCTAAAATGAGGGGAAGGGCTGATTTTTTTTAAGACTGGGGATAATGATCATTCCTTCAGAAAAAAAGAGTTAAATTCCAAATTCACATCATACTAACAACATATTTCTAATAAGTAACAAAAATGTTTAAATTCATTAAGTTTTAGAAAAATGTGGGAGAATTTTGTTGTTGTTCTTTAGGTTCTGGGGTTCATGTGCAGATCATGCAGGATTGTTGCATAGGTACACACATGGCAATGTGGTTTGCTGCCTCCATCCCCCCATCACCTACATCTGGCATTTCTCCCCATGTTATCCCTCCCGACCTCCCAACCCCACCCCATTGTCCCTCCCTTGGCCCCCCACAACAGACTCCTGTGTGTGATGCTCTCTTCCATGTGTTCTCATTGTTCAACACCCACCTATGAGTGAGAACATGCAGTGTGTGATTTTCTGTTCTTGTGTCAGTTTGCTGAGAATGATGGTTTCCAGATTCATCCATGACTCTACAAAGGACACGAACTTATTGTTTTTTATGGCTGCATAGTATTCGATGGTGTATATGTGCCACATTTTCCTTGTTCAGTCTATCGTTGATGGGCATTTGGGTTAGTTCTAGGTCTTTGCTATTGTAAACAGTGCCGCTAGGAACATACATGTGCATGTGTCTTTATATAGAAGAATTTATAATCCTGTGGGTATATACCCAGTAATAAGATTGCTGGGTCAAGTGGAATTTCTATTTCTAGGTCCTTGAAGAAGCACCACACTGATATTTTTATAATCTTACAGTAAAGAAAGCCTTTCCCAACATGAAGCAAAACCAGACAACATAAAGGAAAAGAGGGACAAAGTTAACTGTAATTAAAGACAATGTTAATAGACTTAAACACAAGTGACAGACAGGGAAGAACATATTTGTGCAGGTTTAGTATGTGAAACCTATAAAGAATTCCTGTAATTAAAAGATGAAAGAGAATCCAGTCAGTGTGAAAATCATCAAAAGATATGAACAGGCAAGTCACAAACAAAAAAACAAAAATGTCTAGCAGACACAAGCAAAAAAGAGCTACCCAACTGATAAAGAATGAAAGAAACATTTTTACAGAGAAAGCATTTTTTATCTAAAAATGGAAAAAATTTTAACATTTAGTGTTAGAGTACAGAAAAATGTACCTTTATATACTAGTGGTGAAAATGTTAATCTGACAACTTTGGTGGAGAGTAATTTATCATTATCTGGAGAAAATACACGCGCATGAATTGTGTGTCAGAAATTCTCCTTCAAGAACTCTCCTACAACAGTAGCAGCAAACGCCTAAGTATTATTTACACACAAATGCCCACTGTATCACTGTCTGTAATAACAAACAACAGAGAAATCTCCAATGTCTGTCCAGAGGGGAAAATTCAATAAATTACAAGTTTAGATTTTCAAAAACAAATCTCCTAGTTGAAGATATAGGAAAAGTTTATCTCTGAGGCATGGAAATTGAGAATTTGCGTCTTCTTCTTTTAATTTTTACTTTATAAATACTAACTCCTCACCCCTTACCCCTAAGGAGAAAAAGAAATAGAAAAATGTGGGCCAGATAATCACATTGGGATTAACTGAGTTTAGTGCCAGAGGGGGCAGATGTCAACAAAGACTGATGCTATCTGCATGGAAACAATCACTGGTCTCACTAACTTTTATTTTCCAACTGTGTTTATCTCCCAGAGGAAGTATTTAGAGTAATATATGGGGAAATTCCAAACTGGAACCCATGTTCTTACAAAGGCAACATCAGAAAAGAAAGAATAGAGCTGGGGAGTACACACAAGTCACAGAGCCAGGGAAGGAAGGGGACAGAGAAGCCAGGTTTAGTAAACATCTCTAGTGCACTTCCAGTCCCTCTTGTAAACGATGGCATCCAGCACTTGGCGGCAACAAGAGGGAGTGGCTTCCTGTTCCTGGAAGCTCAGCCCCCATTGTGTTTTGAAAAGCATCCTAACCATTCTATGAGAAACCTATTATCTGTTAATAAACAAATTCCTTTTCTGCTAGGGAAACCAGGGTGGCTTCTTTCATTTGTGCCTAACAGTGACCAATGTACTAACCATATGGCTCTATCCAGCGTGGTACCCCAACTTAATGAAAAACAGCATCTTAGACCTAGAAGAAACCTCAGGAGTCGTATGAGCTGAACTCCCACCCATGTAGGAGTCTTCTTTAAATCCCTTACGCCTCTGTCTAAACATTTCCCATAACTGGGAAACCACTGCCTGGTAAAGAGTCCTACCATTGTTGGACAGTTACAACAGACCACGTACGATTCCTTCTACAGAATCTGCTTCATGGTACCACCCACTAGAGGGGCTTAGCTCGGTCACCAGGAGCCATAGTGAGCATCTAGCTCAGAGGTGCACTTAATGTGGTTTGAAAGCAGCACATGCCAGTCCCTCACTCTGAAAAGTGCTCAGTGAATATTGGAAGAATATATAAATGAATGAGTGGCATCTCTCCTTAGATGCTGTAGCAACTACAATATGATCAAGCTTGTAATTGCACCTTCTTATAAAACCATTCTTCCAACTCCCACTCCTCCAACTTATGAACCCTGAAGCACTGACATCCAGCCCTGCTCCCCAGGACTGCAAGGATCTAAGGCCTACACAGCACCCTTGGGGAAGGTTTCCCCTGGAGATGGTGTTAGTGGATATTAATAATCAGTGCTGAGAGGGTAACACAGTGGCACAGCCTGTAAGGTGTTTTGAAATTTGATATGCCTGAAAAGCAGAAATAGGGAGTGCAGTGGGAGCTGTTATTAGCACATGCTGCACAGCAAGCTGACGGAAGCCCCATGGAGGGAGAGGTTACAAGGAACACTGTAGGAGAGCTGACCTGGAGCTGTGCCATCAGATTGGGGTAGAGGGTGCTGTACAGCCCACATCCTCTGGGGACAATGAACCACTAGAATGCCAGGTGTGAAGACAGTCTGGCCTGAACTAGCATTAAATTTACAACAAGCAGGACAAAGCCTGTTTGAAAACAAAGGGTTTGTTCCTTCATTCACTCAACAAATATTTACTGATCACCTATTATAGTGGACAGATTAATGCCCTATTATATCCCAAAAGATGTCCACCCTCTAGAATCTGTGGATATGGCAAAAGGGAGAAAGGGACTTTGCGGTTGTGACTGAGTTAAGAATCTGGAGAAAGGGAGATTGTTCTGCATTACCTGAGTGAGTCGAATGTAATCACAGGGGTCCTTATAAGAGAAAGAAAGGGGCAGAAGAGTCACCGCTAGAGACAAAGGTGTGATCACAGTAGCAGAGGTCACAGTGATGTGCCCCATGAGCCAAGGAATACAAGCAGATTCAAAAGGTGGAAAAAGCAAGAGGACCACCTTTTCCCAAGAGCTTCAAGAAGAAACGCAGCCCTGCCCAGGGATTTTGACCCAGTGAGGCTGATATTCAGGTTTCCGACCTCTAGAACTGTAAGATAATCGATTTGTGTTGTTTTGGACACGAAGTTCCTGGTAAATGTTATAGTGCTTATAGGAAACTAATTACATCTGCTTTGAGCATTTGGCATGGAACAGTGAGCAAAATAAACGAAGTCCCTACCCTCATGTCATTTACATTCTAGTGAAAAGGGGACAAAAATAAGCAATGAAACTATTAAGTTGATTATTTACTATTTAGTATGTTGGAGGTGATATGTGCTATAGGGTAAAGTGAAGCCAGGACAGAGAGGACTATTGAGGGCTAAGGGGGAGAAGGAGCGATCTGAACCAGGCGGCCAGCATGGGCTTCATTGAGAAGGGAGCGTTTCAGCAGAGACCTGAAGGAGGTGAGAGGGTGAACCACGAAGACAGAGGGGCAGCAGATGCGTGGGGCCTCCGTTCAGTTGCCTGACAACCTTGAGGATGGGCAAGGAGGCTGTGGAGGCCAGAAGAGAATGCTGGAGGGTTATGCAGAGGAGGGCCCTGAGCTCAGGTCCTTTCTAAAGGTTTCCTTTGTCTGCTCTGTTGTAGGTGGGGATAGGAGGTGGGGGTGGGGAACAGGGCAGTAGCCATGGAAGTGATGAGAAGAGGCCCGATTCTGGATCTGTTTGGAAACTAGAACCAAAGGAGTTCCTGATACATTAGAGGTGGGGGTGAGAAAGAGGAGGGAAGGATGACTCCCAGTTCAACCAGGAGCACAGAGTTAAACCGGAAAGCATAACATAGAGCTGCCTGCTAACGTCCCACTTAAGAAGTTCAAGGTATTTTCACAACCATTAAACATGTAAATAACATAAGATACCTTTTTGCCATTCAAAAACACAAAAGATAACATTTTTGGCTTTATAGATAGCTTCCTTCTCACTGTGTCCTCACATGGCAGAGGGAGACAGGGAGATAGACAGAGACAGACAGACAGAGAGAGAAAGAGAGAGAGAGAGCGAGAGAGCACAAGAGAGAAATGGCTCTTTCCTGTGTCCTGTGATTAGGGCACCAATCCTATTATGAGGTTCCACTCTCAGACCTCGCCACCTCCCAAATGCCCCACCTCCAAATAACATCATAGTGAGGATTAGGGTTTCAACACATGAATTTGGAAGGTGGTGGCAGAGTCAGGAGGGGACACACAAACATTTAGTCCCCAGTAGGCCTTAAATGGGCAAAGTGTCAGTTAAAGTTTAGAAGAAAAGATATTCTTCTGCTGCTTATATTAACAATAGCAACAATCCAGGGAATAAAAATGTTTTTCAAAAATAAAAATTATTAAAATATTATATTAATATTTTAATAATTTTTAATTATCTAAAAATTAAAATCTTTAATACATTATTTAAATATACTAAAACTTATTAAAATATTAAAAATTATTAAATTTGCCTCCAAATTTAGCCTTCCTGTTCATCTCCCTCTTTCTTATAGTGGTGTCAATATTCTCCCATTTCCAAGCCTAACACCAGGGCGCCATCTTTCATTCCTCTGCTCCCCTCCCCACCACATGCAATGATGGGATCATGTTGGTGCTTTTAGCGAAACACCGCTTACATTTGTCCCTTCCTTCCTTGTACACCTCTATTCTTGGGTTCAAGCTCTCTAACTATTGCCAGAGCCTCTCACATGGCTTTCCTGCCTTCATTCTTGCCCCACTCCAGTCTGCTGGTTAACCCTCTGAAACCTTTTTTGCGATCTTGCTTGAAAAGACCTTAAGGAACTTCCTTACATAAAGGTGAGTCTTTATCTTGGCATTGAAGCCTCTGTTGCATCTGGCCCAATCTGCTATCCCAAGGGTGAGGAGAGAAACAACTTCTCAGATATCTTCACTTCCAGCTCCACTGAGAAGTCTTCCCCAGCAGCAGAATGCCACTTCCTGGGTCACAGGTGGAGAATTAGCAACGGGATAACACTTTTACTCATACACGACTCATTTAGTCACTTCTCCAAGGGCAGAAGTTGAGTTTCAAAAAAAAAATGTATCTCAAAGCATAATAGCAAAATGTGAAAGTAGGCACTCAAGCAGAGAAACGAAAAGGAAAATATACAAGGAACACTAAAGGAAAGCAGAGGTTGGGGCCAGGCATGGTGGCTCACACCTGTAATCCCTACACATTGGGAGGCCAAAGCGGGAAGATCACTTGAGGCCATGAGTTCAAGACCAGCCTGGCCAACATGACAAAACCCCATCTTTATTAAAAATACAAAAATTAGCCGGGCATGGTGGCACATGCCTGTAATCCCTGCTCCTCAGGAGGCTGAGAGAGGAGAATTGCTATAACCAAGGAAGCAGAGGCTGCAGTGGGCAGAGATTGTGCCAGTGCACTTCAGCCTGGGTGACGGAGTAAGACTCTGTCTTGAAAAATTAAATTAAAAAATAGGAAAGCAGAGGTTGGGCAAGAGTCCTCCTTCTTTCTCACTGCCTCTTCCAGGCAGTGATTTCTCTTTCTTCCCAGCAACCTCCAGCACTTTAAAGAATGGTAGCATCTGCTGCTCCCCACTCTTACAACCACACAAATTCCTCCTCAGTCACTGAAGACTTTAGCACTGGGCATGGCCCTTACCTCTCCCACTACTTCTGTCACATCATGTGATGATCTCAGTATTCATTCTGTCTCCAATACTCTGGCCCCTAAATTCATCTCTAACGATCCTGGCCTCCAACCTGCTTTTGCCACAGACTCCCATGTCATACCCTGCACTTTGTCGTCATTAGTAACTACATTGCTTCTAGAATCTCAGCTTCAAGCGTTCTACTATCTAATCACCACTGCCACTTTTTCATTGTATTTCCTCTAGCACTTCCCTGGAAACGCTTCTGCAACCCCACTAGGACTGATAACCCCTTGACCCTGCTGCCATGACACTGCCCATCATCCCCACCCTGCTTATGACCTCATTCTCTCCTTAAAAAGCTTAGATTCCTTTATCTACCACTAGAATCCTTCTGTTGCATTTATTCTCAATGAACTTACCCCTCTCCCTTCCAAATACTAGCCTGGCAAAACCCTAGTCCTGGTTAAATTCAGCTCTACCTAGTCCTAGTCTACCCCCAAACAGCTGCTCAGGGCTAGAGACAACACCACCATGCTGATGGTCTCCCTAAATTCATTACCACAAGCCACAGGTGGGCTGTCAGCACAACCTAAGACACCTGCATGATTCCTGTGTCCTCTCTCCCACTCCCTAATTCACACCTTCTCTTTCTCAAACTCCAATTCTTCCTCTCCTACCCTTGCTTTTGATGCTGACCTTGTTGCATACTTCACTGAGAAGACAAAAGTGTTTGGAAAATAAATTCCACAACCTGCCACCACAAATCTACTCACCTTCATGCAGCAGTGTTTCTGTAGTCTGCCTTTTATCTTAGGAAACTGCCCTGCCCCTATCTGGGGTCAACCTACTTCTTGTGACTGGATTCTCCATCCCATTCCCTCTTGATAACCAAGAGCTCCCCTCTTGAAATGATCCGTCTCTCTGTTCCATCATTACTCTTTCCCTCTCTGCTGAAAGATCATTTCCATCAGTATCCACACATACAAACTTGAGGGTGCTATGCGGGAGTGACACCACATCCCTTACATCACCTCCAGCTGCCGCTCTCTTAGCAGTGAATCTTCTTGACAAAATGATATATGTTCTCTGTCTCCAATTCCTCTTTCCATTATTTTTCTCTATTACATTTAAAATATCTTTACATGCAATATTTGATTTGTAGAAAGGAATACAATTGACCCTTGAACAATGTAAGAACTAGGGACACCAACACCTCATGCAGTCAAAAATCTACATTTAATTTTTAATTCCCTAAAAACTGAATTGCTAATAGCTTACTGTTGACTGGACCCTTGCCGATATCGTAAACAGTGGTGGATTAACATGTATGTGGTACATCGTACGTATTAAATACTGTATTTTTATGATAAAGTAAACTAGAGAAAAGAAAATGTTATTAAGAAAACCATAAGGAACAGAAAATAGATTGACTATTCGTGAAGCAGACGTGGATCATCATAAAGGTCTTCATCCTTATCTTCATGTTGAGTAGGCTGAGGAGGAGGAGGAAAAGGAGGTTGGGTCTTACTGTCTCAGGGTGGTAGAGGCAGAAGAAAATTTGCATGTAAGTACACCCATGTTGTCCAAGGGTCAACTGTATGTGAATTATATATGTAAGATGTAACATATACTAATCCAATGAATTCACATGACCCTGTCACCCAAACTAAGAACTGAAAGATTACCAAGGACTTCACTTTCCCCGATGAGTTTCTCCTGTATCTATCTAATCAAGCCATCTCCCAAAGAGACAACCTCATTCTCTCTTGAAACCATCCCAACCATGCTTTCAGTCAGCTTCCTAAAGTCACCTGTGGAGATCATGAATAATCTCTATGTTACTAAATCCAGTGGTTAATTCTGAGTCTTCAATTTAATCTCTCAGTAGCATTTAACATAGCTGATGGCTCTCTCCTTCTTTATGAGAAATCATATTTGAAGCCAAAAACCCTGAAATCATCATTGATTTTCTCCTGTTTGTATCCCTAATCCTTCAAGCTATCAGCAAACCCTGCTGGCTCTACTTCCACAGTGCATTCCCGAATCTGATGGTGCTCACCACACTCACCACATCGCCCTCCTCCCAGCCGCCCTTAGCTATGTTCTAGACTATGCAACCACCTCATGGACCTCTCTACTTCTGTTCTGGCTCTTTGGTTCATCAAGCAACAGCCAGAATGATCCTTTAAAAACATCAAATTAGTCCTTGCCCTGTTCGGTATTCCCCAGTGGCTTTCCATCATAAGAAATTCTGATCCCTAGATGTGATCTGCAAGGTCCTATGAGATCTAGACTTTGCCATCCTCTTAGACTTCATCTCCTGTCATTCCTCTCTCATGCCATATGAGCCCCCAGAACCTTCCTTAAGCAGATCAGGCATGCCCTTGACCCAGGTCATCTGTAATCACTGGCCCTCTGCCCAAAAATGCTCATCTGTAAATATTTACACAGATCGTTTCTTCACTACATTCAAGTCTTAAGTGTCATTGCAAAAAGAGTCCTTCCCTGACCACAAAACCTCAAATAGCATCCCTCACCTCATCACTATCTACCCACTTAAGGTGACTTGGTTTTCTTTCCTTGTGTTATAGGTGACATTATATTATACAGCAGGTCTGCAATAATGTCATTTATCTCAATGTTGTTTTGTAATAATGTTGATGAGAAAAACAAAAACATCAGTTCCCAGCCAGGGCCATTGACTGTGTGAAGGTGGCATGTCTTCCCATATCTGCGTGCATTTTCTTTGGGTGCTCTGGGTTCCTCCCACATCTCAGAGATGTTCCATGACAGTAATCACTGTGTCTAAATGGTTCGTGTAAAGTGAGTGGCCCTGCAATGGGATGGCATCCTGTCCAGGGCTGGGTCCCGTCTTGCACCCTGAGCTGTCAGGAAAGGCTTTGGCCACCAGTGACTCTGAAATGGAATAAGCAGGTTGGAAAATAAGTGAATAAACTGAAACCTTTCAAATAAAAATTTGCAGAGTACCAACACACCACAATAAAAGGTGCAGTGCAAAAGTACTTCGCAAGCCCAATAGATCTGTGATTACTTTTGAACTGTGTGGTGGCACAATGTACTCCTCACAATTTTCGGTTTGCAAACATTTATTTCTTGATTTCATCTACGACCACTTCAACCACCATCGCACACTGATTCACTAAAAGTGAGGTAAATATCCTATTTGTACTTGATAATCTTTCTTAACGGTATGTAAGGCTCACATTCATTTCAGTGTGAAATACAGAAGTGTTTTATATCTATTTAGAAGTTCCTGATCAGAAACGTACTGTAGGAACTTAATTCTTGCTTACATCAATTAGCCTGTGGTAAAATTGGTTTTGATTTATGTCATCATTTCCCTTAAGGTAGAGGTTTTCAAGAACCTGCCAAAAATGTTAAGTGAGGACTCAGTGTGCTTCCGTTTGTTTCTCTGTGTGTTGTCCCTCTCATCCTGGCAGAATCTAGGTTCTGTGAGAGAGACTGAAATGCTCAATGCTGACTCCTATCCCTTCACTGGTGGTGCCTGCCACATAATAGGCACCTAAATATTTATAGAATGAATGACTTGGGAAACTGGAACAAATCTCTGTGCCAGCACAAAGATCTTGATGCCTACCCAAGTCCTACCTCTAACCGTCTCACCATATTTCTGCAAGTAGACCATCACTACTTGTGAGACACTGGTTTTCAAGGAAATATATACAAGATGTGGATACTTGTCACAGAGGGGTATAAAATTACATGTTCAAAGCAAGTCCTAATGGAATGAAGAGGATAGCACATAATAAGCTAAGAATACAGTATTGTGAGCTGCTGATGAAACAACGGCCTTTTGGTAGAGGAGGGAAGATGGAAAGTTGATTGATAGGTACAAATATATATGGTTTGACAGAAGAAATAAGACCTAGTGTTAGATCAGTAGGGTGAATATAGTCTACAGCAATCTATTGCACATTTCAAAATAGCTAGAAGAAAAGAATTCAAATGGTTCTAACATAAATAACAGATAAATATGTCCCTGGGCACCGTGGCTCATACCTGTAATCCCAGCACTTTGGGAGGCCAAGGTGGGCAGATCACCTGAAGTTAGGAGTTCAAAACCAGCCTGACCAACATGGTGAAACCCCATCTCTACCAAAAATACAAAAATTGGCCAGACACAGTGGCAGACTCCTGTAATCCCAACTACTCAGGAGGCTGAGGCAGGAGAATTGCTTGAACCCAGGAGACAGAGGTTGCAGTGAGCCAAGACTGTGCCATTGCGCTCCAGCCTAAACGACAAGATTGAAACTCCATCTAAAAAAAACCAAAAATTTAAGGTGATGGATATCCCAAGTACACTGATTTGATCTTTACAAATTATATTCATATATTAAATTAACACATATACCCTGTAGTTATATGCATCTATTATGCATCCACTAAAAAATTCAGTTAGGTGGGGGAAAAGCAAGGGCCTTTCATTCTGTGTCTGGGTTTTGTCTCTCCAGGGCTTCACAGCTTTCTCATGAGAAGTTAAGGCAGTGATTGGAGAAGCGTAGCAAGGCAATGAATGAACCGCTGAGCATCAGTCCAACCAAGCTCTCGCCAGACGTGCCAGCAGTGTTCATGCTGGTGCCAAGAGTTGGTGCTAGACCTAGACTGAGAGGCTGCTGGGCCCCCTCTGAGAGGATCCTGGAAGATAAACCATGTAAAACCCTTCCTTCCTTAAACGTTCTGTTTATTTTCAAGAGTGTAAAACAGTTAAAAAAATATTCCAATGACTTCTTCAAATTATTTTTCAGAAACTTGATAAAAATGAGGAAATTTTTTTACCTCAAGAAACTTAATACTGTGTTTCCTCCGTAATGGAATACTGGCGGGAAGTGAGAGCAGGGCATTGCACTGAGCAGACTTTCTCGACGGCTTTGGCCACAGCAGCTCTTAGATCCTCTTGTTCTTGGTCTTTTGTCAGCTGCAGCCTCTCCTGGGTCATGTTGTACAACATGAGGAAGGGGGACTGCTTCCATTAGCTGACCTCTTGCTTTAGCTGCAGAAGTCCCCTCAGAGAAAGCTTGGCTAACAGACCATGATGGGCTTCTCCTTTCGCTCCATTTGCTACCGGGATGACCAAGTTAGTGGTAATGTCCCATCTTGTCCAGCAAGGGAACTCCTTACAGTGCTCCAATGTGTTCTGTGAGGACTAGAGAAGAAGTTCACAAATCAGAAGCATGTACAGCTTATCATCTCACTGAGAAAGCAAGCTATGTCCTCAACAAGACAGAAAACACAAGCAGGCCGCGTGTAATGGCTCACACCTGAAATCCCAACACTTTGGGAGGCCAGGGTGAAGAGATCACATGAAGCCAGAAGTTTGATACCAGCCTGGGTAACAAAGGTAGACCCCTATTTCTAACAAAAATTAAATTAAAAAATTAGCCTGGGGCCGGGTGTGGTGGCTCACGCCTGTAATCCCAGCACTTTGGAAGGCCTTGGCAGGCGGATCATGAGGTCAAGAGATTGAGACCATCCTGGCCAACATAGTGAAATCCCATCTCTACTAAAAATACAAAAATTAGCTGGATGTGGTAGCATGCACCTGTATCCCAGCTACTCGGGAGGCTGAGGCAGGAGAATTGCTTGAACCCGGGAGGCGGAGGTTGCAGTGAGCCGAGATCGCGCCACCGCTCTCCAGCCTGGCACCTGGTGACAGAGCGAGACTCTGTCTCAAAAAAAAAAAAAAATTAGCCTGGTGTGGTGGCATGTACCTATAGTCTTAGCTACATGGGAGGCTGAAGCAGAACTGTTTGAGCCCAGAAGTTTGACATTACAGTGGGCTCTGATTGGGCTGCTGCACTCCAGCCTGGGCAACAAAGCAAAACCTTGTCTCTAAAATAATAATAATAATTAGCCAGGCATAATGGCATTTGCCTATGGTCCCAACTACTCCACACCACTGCCCTCCATCCCAGGTGACAGAGGGAGACCCTGTCTGTAAAAGAAGAGAAGCAGAAAACATAAGCAAGCCTACGCTAACATAACATGCAATGCAACCAAAATAGAGGGAATGAAAAGCGAGTGGGCAATAATAGAACGGGATGTCCTTGTTCCAGAAGCTTCACTTGTTAGAAGCCAGTCCTGAAAGTCCATAAGTTTATGACCCAGGGAAAGTGTCTAGATGCAGAATTTCCCCCGGAAGAAATTGGTGGGGAAAGGAAACTTGTGGAAACAGAAGTAACAGAGGGTCATGTTGAGGATTACAGACCAGAATTCCTACCTGCCCTCACAGAGGGTCACAGGGACCACACAAGCTGGTCATTCATTCTGCCTGGTTATAAGGAAATCAAATCAGAATCGAGGGAACAAAGGGAACTGATTAAAGAATTGAGTGCGTACTTTTAAAATATAAGTGATTAATTTAAGATGAACTTAACAATTATTAAAAGTTTTCAAAACTTTACCAAAAAGTTATAAAAGATTAGTGAATTGCTTGGATGTTGACGATGAAAGTTTTCTACGAACATCTCCACTTTCACAGTTCGATTCCAGATGGCGGTCCTGAGAGCCTTTTAATTCATTTCACCTACCTTATATTAAAACTGGTTATTTGTAAAATTTTCATGTTTGACTCAACTTTTCTTCCAGATGTTTGTTACTATATAATTAAGACCTCTGTGTTTGACAACTTTGTTTTAAAAGAAACTACTCAGCATGCTCACTTTCCAACATGACATTAACATTTACCTACATTTTCTCTGCTATGTCAAATCCAGGTGACTCACACTTATTTGCCAGATTTTTTTTTTTTTTTTTGAGATGGAGTTTTGCTCTTGTTACCCAGGTTGGAGTGCAGTGGCGCGATCTCAGCTCACTGCAACCTCTGCCTCCTGGGTTCAAGCAATTCTCCTGCCTCGGCCTCCCAAGTAGCTGGGACTGCAGATGCGTGCCACCATGCCCAGCTAATTTTTGTATTTTTTTTAGTAGAGACGGGGTTTCACCATGTCAACCAGGATGGTCTCGATCTCTTGACCTTGTGAGCCACCCACCTCGGCCTCCCAAAGTGCTGGGATTACAGGTGTGAGCCACCACGGCCGGCCTTGTCAGATTTTTTTAGCCTAGATGTTCTAGTCTCTGATATGGATCCCACCTGGAATCTAATTATTAAACTAGTAGGTTTTTGCAAGTGGCTTTAAATGCTTAAATGACTATAGCAGAGTATGATTTATATGAAAAAAGAAATGAATTAGTCCTAATAAATATTTGTTAAATTGAATGTGTGCAAGGTGTGCGCAGCATGCACTTTCCTGTGAAATATTTTATGCTACTATTTAATACAATTTAACTCTTGTATTATTTAATTTTTTATAAATTCAAATTTTATATCCCAAGCTAGATTTGTATTTTCCCTCTCTCTCTCTTTTTTTTTTTTTTTTTTTTGAGACAGAGTCTTGTCCTGTTGCCAGGCGCCAGGCTGGAGTGCAGTGGCACAGTCTCGGCTCACTGCAATCCCCATCTGTAGGTTCAAGCAATTCTCCTGCCTCAGCCTCCCAAGTAGCTGGGACTACAGGCACGCGCCACCATGCCCAGCTAATTTTTTTATTTTTAGTAGAGACGGGGTTTCAACATGTTGGCCAGAATGGTCTTGATCTCTTGACCTCATGATCCACCCACCTTGGCCTCCCAAAGTGCTGGGATTACAGGCGTGAGCCACCGCACCCGGCCCGATTTGTAGTTTCTTAAGACAAAATCTGTTGTTAATTTTTTTGCTTTTCCTACACTACTGTCTAATAATGGGAACTCAGTCACTGTATGTTCATTATTATGAATGTCAGTTACTTTCAAATAAAGAGGTACCCAGGTATCCTCTCCTCTTCCTGTTTTATCTTCCCTCTATACTAAATTTTGGTGATGCAAAGTCATTTATGTCCAGAAAGGCTACTGACAGGACAGACTCCTTTTTTTCTGACAAATTATTTATAAACTTAAGCCTTTTAAAATAAGGTACTTAGTAGTATGGGAGAATATTACTATTAATGGAAAAAGATCAGGTTACAAAGTAGCATACACAAAATATAACCAAATTTTAATAGAGGACATGTGAGAGAGATGAAGAAATAGATAGCTGGAACATTGCAGATGCCACCAGTCTAGTTATGCCATCATACTGCTATTTCTATGATAAAGTTTCTGTTCTTGCTTCCATCCTACAGATGCAGAATCTGGGACTCCCCTTTAAGAGTCCTTCCAAAAGGGACCTTCACATGTGCTCATATCTCTAAGGTGTAGTCACTGCATGGCTTCCAGCATGTTCTCCTGCTCCTGCTTCCCAGACCCTGCCCACTGCTGGTGAAGGCATGTGAAGGGCTGTTAATGGCCAACACGGAGATACCTATGTCTGCCCTCAATGGGCTCCATCACTGAAACCACAGTACTTTTCTCTGTGTGGTAAGATAATACATTATTTTACCTTTTTCTTTCTTATTTTGATATTTTCCAAATTTTCTAGATAATTCATTTTATTATCTGAAAAAAAAAATGAAGTGAAAACATCTGCAACAAGTTTGCAAGATAGCCAAGCAGCTGCTATTGTGAACAGCTGCCGAAGAAGTCAGGGAACAGAATGAAAAAATCATCGGGTGAAGGTGGTGGTCATTGTATTGCAAAGTCGATACACATAAAATGCTAGACCTTAACAACTCAGTTAAGTTCTAGAAGGTACCAGAATCTGCCAGGGCTGCATCATTGTTTTAGATCGTTAAGAGTGGAGAACACAAAATGAAACTGACTCTTGATTGGCATGTTGCCTGATGAAATTCAAGATTCACAAAGTCAAGAAAGTTTATTTCAGGGGGGGAAAAAACATGTAAGCCATTTATGTGTACCAATAGCTTTGGAATTAACCAAAACCTCATAGGGAAAGCCACAGGAATCAACACAGGCAGCCTAATGAAAACATCTGCTGAATAGAGAAAGTTGACCAGAAACTTAATGAGACATCAGACCGTGTTACAAAGAGAATACAGAGTATCAGTATGGAAAAACTGCTAGTGTTGCATGCATTAATGAGCAACTTATTCTCATTACATTTGGCGGGAGCACTGTATCAACAGGAGTGACTGAAGCATCAAAGGCAAGGGGAGACAAGTTGAATTTTAGAATAATCAGAGTTCATGAAAAAAGGTGGCAAAACTAACTTTAATGGGACTTTTAAATTAAAGATAATGTGTTCAAATAAGGTGAGTATGAGTTACATTTGTTTTATGTCTCCCTAAAAAAATAGGCACAAGAAATCAAGGCTGTGATGTATATAATAAATAATCATAATTAAGCAAGGATATGTGAGTTTACTTTAAAAGGTATAAAATAACAGTTTCCAAAGATGCATGTACATAAAATTATGTGCAGTAGAGACAGGAATTTCCTGTAGTACAAGAAAGAACACAATTGTACTTGATGAGACAATAGAGATATTTACTTTAAATCTGATAAGAAATGGGACATTTTTTACAGTATATACTCTGTCATATTCACTATTTGGACAATTTTTATGGAAAGCCACTTACTGAAATGTATAAAGAAATTTAAAATTCATTTTAGTAAAAGCATTTTTCTACAAACACCCAAAAAAGAATAAAAACTATGAAGATGACTACTCTGTATGTACAAAAATCCTGGCAGCTTAGATTCCAAGTGTATTTCCTTAAATTGTGTTATACTGCAGAACAAAAAAGGAATGGGGTAAGAAAGAGCAGATGTGTCCAAGAGAAGAAATAATCTCGGGAAACGGGAAGAACATACTGATCTGCATTTTAAAGTAGCCATCTAAGGGAAACAGATAATTTCATATTTTAGTTTTCTTTCCTGCTCATCAAATCTGATATAAATACCATCTCCTGCATGCAGTAATCTCACATCTATAAAATATGCATCTAGCAACATTAAGAGGGAATCTCCAAGAATTTACTGTGAGTGAGAATCTAGAATGTTTTAAAGCTAGAGTACTTTCCCATGTAGGAGGCACCTGACATAGTCACCTGATTCAGAGCTCATTCCTATTCTGGGCTAGCATGCCCTAGAAGAGGCACTTTGCTGCGCTCAGCCCAACTCCAGTGCCCCTCCAGCCCCAGCCCTCCTGGGAGTCCTTCTCTCCTCAGCCTCCTTGATTTTTATTTGCAGGACCCAGGGCAATGCCTTTCAAACTTG